GAACCTTATTCACTTGATCTTACCTATCACACATCCCAGACGGCCAACAAGTGGTTAGCAGTTTACCTCAAAAGCACCAGAACGTATCTTTTACCAACAGTTGTCACCACCTGGTGGCGTGCAGAGAAACTGCAGGTTTAAACATGCCTTCTGGTCCTTGAATTTCTGAGTTTTTAAATACTTTCTGGCTCTGTTTGGTGATTTTGTGTTTTGTGTGTTATCTCTGCAATGTCACATTTTTATGATGTGTAGTTACGTGTGAGCGGTCACGGGAAATTATATTTCATGTAGTTTTAGGTTGGATCTTATGTACGAGGCAGATAGAGGAGAAAAGTAAAAGCTTTCTCTTGGTGAGGGATTTGTGTCTGCTGGTTGTTGTGACGTAGCTGTTTCTCCTGTGTGTTAGGGCCCTTGGAGTCCCCGCTACAGACCACGTGATGGAGGGTGGGGTTCCCGTCAGCAAAGTCGGCGGCCTGTCCCTCCCGCTGGAGTCTCCAGCCAGAGAAACGCTGACGCTGCTGCACAAAAACGGGTGAGAGATTACTCCCGCTCATGTTTTACTAAACTTTAAACCCTTTAGTCTGTCACACATCAGCTTACTTCACCTCCTTTATCCTCCTCTCCGTCAGTCTGGGAGCGCATGAAGTACAGGCAGCTCTGGACAGGATGATTGACAGGTGTCGCTCAGGAGCTCAGGGTGCAAAGGTCAGCGCAGAGGAGCTCGCCTCCATCCTCGGGCTGAGCCACCAGCAGACAGCTGTCCACATCTGCGGCCTCTACTCCAAGGTACGGTCGGGTGTACGCGCTGCAGCCGAGTCAGACCGTCCTCTTAGGTTTTATGGCTGTAAACTGCGCCTGAGTGCACACTGTGTGCACCAAATATTTGTTTTTCACAAGAACTCGCGACAGCTGAGTCAACTATACTCGGATCTGATAAGTCGATAAGCCGACAAGATTCAAAATGAAATGCTTCGGCCGCTTTCGATGAACTGATTCTTCAGGGAGGGAGGGCACGACAAAGGTTAAGCGCGTTTCTCTGTTGCCGTTAGACACTGTAGATGTTTGTGTAGCCAATTAGTGACGAGGTGAAACACAAACCCTTCCATCCATCTGTAACTCGTACTTACTGGCAGCAGGTTGAGCAGAGCATTTTAAAAGCTCGTCGGCCAGCTTCTTGTTAAAGAGTTTGTGCGACGCTCGAGTGAGGACGGTACGGATGAGTCTCACAATCCACAGAAAGAGCAGATCTATTCAGAGGAGCAAGGACAAACGAAACCCTGATGAATGTTAACCGATAAGTCACAAACTCGCAGCTGCTTCTTCTAACCACAGGATCCTGGATTTAAAAAGCCCTGCTGTGTTTACCGAGAGCAAACAGATCTTGGGGCATATCATAAAGAGGAGTGCATTGTGATTTCGGAGTTTTGATTTATAAATGAGGCGTTATAATAACTCATCTGTGCTTTTTCAGATAATGTGACATTTAAAAAGCTCAGAGGGAGAAGGTGCTGATGTAATCTGTGTGTTTTAGGATGACTCTGTGGACCTGAGGCACATCTATTTTAGTGTCGCACCCCTGACTGGATGTGTTGACCTGAAGACACTGCTTCACTCAGCTTTCACTGTAAGTCCTGCTGATCGCCTCACCTTTCTCCACTTTCTCCTGTCTGCATTTAGAAATATGACACATAGTCAGGATATAATTTTAACTCCGTAGTAAGAAATTACAGAATTAAAGAGACCTGCATGTTTTAGTTTTTAAGCCTGACTCCCCCAGTGGGATTTGTGACTCTTCCCTGGGTTCAAACTGTGGAACTTAGGCTCGATCGGCTTGCACAAAAACAGTCTTCACCTCCATAAGGAGCCTTTTTGTACCTCCTGCTGTTTTCTTGATTGTTCACTGTTTGTTTTTCAGTTGTTTAACAGAGAGGGCGGAGGCAGCCTGAGCGAAAGGGAGCTGTCGGACCTGATGGAGGCGCTGGTGGGCGTCCCTCAGCACAGAATTGCCGACCTCTACGCCGCCACCTCCGATCAGAACCGGCTCACTGAAGGTGAGAATCAGCTGAATAGTGTAGATGAGCTGCAAAAGAACAAATTTCCCTCAAGAACCAGGGCGGTCAGTGAATGCCTGTTACTAGACAGTAGTAAAAACCATCCCTGCTGTGGCTTTGTTTCCACAGAGAGTCTGCTGCGGGTGCTGACTGCCCACCCAACCTTTCAGAAAGTGACGAAAGAGTACCTGCAGCCCGAGGAGGCTGCAGGTACTCTATCCAACAGGAGGTCTGTGAACAATAACGGATCAGTTTACAACAACAGCAAGAAGTCAGAATGAGGACCTCGTAGTGGATTATTTTAGGGGGGGGGGGGCAGATTGAACCGAAATACTGGACAGAAGATTGTAGACATGTGAGGCGTGATGTGAAGTATTTATAACAATGTATAAACCAAATGGTGTGACTAAATGATACTACAGTTCCTGT